CTGCCAAAATGACCTCCAGGACATCAAACCAGCCTGGTCTTGGGTCCTGTCCATCAGCAATCCTTCCCCAAAAAGCAGGATTAATGACTTCCCCTGTTTAATTTGTTAATTCTTGCTAATGGAGGCTGCGAGAGTTCAAAAAAATGGGATAAAACAGGGAGAGGCATCATTATCACGCTGAAAATTAAACACATTTCTGCAGTGGGGAGCCCTGTGCCCGTGCTGAATCCAGGAGCAGCCTGGGGTCTTTGATGGCTTTGTAAACCATCAAGGAGGGGAAAATAAAAGAACAGCAACTGGGTTTTCTGGCACACACGTGGAGCGTTTGGCATCCTGGGATCCGCACCACGCGTCTCGCGAGCCGGGAGCAGCGCCAAGGATCTTCTCCTCTCCCCAGAGGCTCAAAATGCTCCAGACAATCACTTCTCCCTCCTGGTTTGGGGCCTTTTCATGGAGCCAAGAATCCTCCTTTAACTTCCTGGAGTCTTTTTAATGAAGCCAGACGATGCCATGCTGTTTCCTCCCCCTCCTCCTCTACCTGCATGTCTCATGTCACTTTAACTTGTATTCCCACCTGCAGCCAGGCTCCMAAACATATGAGTCCCATGAAAAACCCCTCTGCTGGTTGTCGTTCCTGCTAGGAATATGCATGTCAGGAAAACTGGAATTGAAGCAGAAGCAGAACTGCTGAGGGTTTTTAAGCACCGATGTGGCACAGCGAGGATGCTTCTCCCTCGTGGACATCGGGATTTCTCCAAGGGAGGGATTAAGAGGCCCCTGCACACCTCCTGTGCTGCTAACAGGGATCAGCAGTCACCCTGGCATGTTTTTCCATAAACCTTTCCCTTTTCCCACTGGGCTGCCATTGGCAGCAAACACTTGGTAGACCAACAGGAGAAGCAGCTTGAAAYAAATTCAGCAAATCCAATAAATTCAGTTGCGTCAGTAAACACAGGCTCTGCTTTCTCCCTGACCCACTCAATTCACCCACAGAGAATTCTCCCCCCATCCCTTCCAAAGGGTGCAGGGTGGCCGGGGGTGACACTTACTCCTCTGGGAGCGGGCGCAGCAGAAGGCGACGATGGTGGCCATCAGCACCAGGAACGCCACGCCGGCCCCCACGGCCACGCCGATGATCACCGCCATGGGCACCGACTCTGCAACGGGAAGGAGAGCGAGCATGAAGAGGGATGGAGGCCACAGAGGGGGMCCCACCCCTGGCTGCTGGCAGGAGGCTCAGTGGTGAGCCCGGGGAGGGTTTTGGGGTCTCCTTCCCTGCTCCCCCATCCCTGCGTGGTGCTGTCGGCACGGGCTGCCCGTGGGACACTGCCATTTGTACAACCCTGCTTGTTCTGTGCCTCAGTTTCCCCTGGGAGGAGGGGAGGGGGGAGCCAGAGGAGCTCTCGTTAGTGCTCCGTGGGTTAATGAAGGAGCATCTCTAAAGGATGAAGAGCAAAAGAAGATTGTGTGTTAATATTTCTAAGAAAGAGAAATGGCATCCRAGCAGGCTTGTGGATGGCTTAACCCAAATCACCTTTCACAGCCCCTGCTTGTTTTATTTCCCAATTTCCTGCCTTCTCCTGTGGCTCATCGACTGCCATCCTTCCCAGATTGCTGAGGGAATCCCTCCTGGGCTGGGACAGGAGGGATGGCCCATGCTGGGGCTGAGCATTGTGGGGTGGGATGTGGGAGGCAGAGCAGGGGATGCAGCCTCACACCCTTCTGCCCTCAAGAGCTCTGTCCCCGAGTTCCTGCTGGGGATTTTTGGCTGTGGCTCAGCCAGCAAAGCTGATTTATCCATGCAGGCTCTGGCAGCAGTTTGTGAGGTGTGGGGAGGGAGGAATGGGAAATCACGTTTGAGGTGAGAGGGTCAGGTTTGGAGCCCCAAAGCCTCGATATCTCCCTGCTCTGTCCCTCCAGGCACAGCTGTGACTTCACAGTGTTGGGTTGGTGCTCCTGGATTCAGGAGGGGCAGTGATGGCATCACTCCCACTGCAGGGCACCTCAGCTGTGGGTACCACAAATGGCTTCCCTTGGCTGGGATGATAAATTACATCCCAAAGACCCTCTCCCCTAAAGCTGCAGGTATCCCTAGGGTCCCATTCCTTTTCTTCCTAAGCACCTTGTAGGATCCTGTGAACCTAAAGAGGGCTAACCCTGTCCAGGATGACCAGACAAGGTGGGTGAGGGTGTCCTCACAACTTTCCTGGACACCTCCTTGGAAGGTGTTTCCTCCTTGGAGCCCTTGCCTTGGAAAGGATGGGATGAATTTATGGAAAAATGGGTGCAGAGAGCTCTGTGCAGATGGGGGCTATGGATGTGTGGGGGTACAGGGGGTGACCCAGCTGAGCAGCAAAGCCCAGGGAGGATCACTTGACTGAGTAACACAGGAACCATTTTCCACTGCCCACTGGTGTGGAGCTGGGGTTGGGCACTGATTTCATGCTGGACCTGAGAGCACAGACCCCACAGACCCCACAGACCCCAGAGATCCCACAGACCCCACAGATCCCACAGACCCCACACATCCCACGTGTGCCTTTAATCCATCCTTGGGCACACAGCCTTACTGGTGGGACTGGGAGCAGCTGGCATTGCACCAGCACCCACTGTGGGGTCAGCAAAGGGTGTCTGCCTTGTCACCCAGTCCCAGGTGGGACAGGGGTTYGTGGCTGTGGGGTTCCTGGGTGCTGAGCCCTAATTTGGGAGCTGCAGGGTAATGGAAATGTGCTGCTGATTGAGTTAAGGCTCTGCTCAGACTTGATCAGAAAAGAACTGATGGTTCTCACTTTCTGGGGGGCTCATGGATTTCCTGCCTGGGCCTGCTGGTCCCTTGATGTGTCACATGTCACTCAAGCTGGTGACACAGCTCAAGTGGCACCGAATCCATCACCAAAGCTCTGAGAGGACCCAGGTGGCAAAAAGGCAAATCCTGTCAGTGCCCTGCAGCCTCGAGCTGGAGMTCAGAGAGCAGGGGCTGCAGCTGGGTCCAGCTCACCCTAAAATCAGCATCCTCCAATGCAGCAGCTGAGCCAGGCAAGGAGAAACCAGGATTTTCTGCCTGCTAGGAGTGGTAGCTCCTCATGGGGTTTCTTTGGCCTTCCCACGGGAATGTGGAGCACTGGGATGGAGAGACAGGAGCCTGGAGACCCTGGGAGGGCTGGCTGGCTCTGAGCTTTGGGGGAGTGGGATCTGCAGTGCAGAGCTTGGAGGGAAGAAGGTGGTGRTGAGGATGAARATKATGAAGATGATGGAAAATCAGGCAGGGAATGGGGTGGGGAAAGCATCCAGGGCTCTCCTGGGCTGGGATAAACTGCAAAGGGGCAGTGAGTGGGGGTGGTAGACTCTGTCCTGTCAGGATGGCTGAGCTGAGGAGGAGCAGACTGCTGGCTCCCCCATGATTCCTGCTCTGGGATATGGGATGGGACCCACAAGGGCAGCGCATCCTGCAGTACCTGCTCCAAAGTCCATCCAAACCTGCCCTGGTGCCAAAGGATTCTGGCCAGCACTCTCCCACGATGCTGAAACAAGTTGATGTCAGCAGAAGATCCTACAAACATGTACTTTTGCCTAATTTTTTGTCCCAAGCTGATACTTTATGGGACTTCTGCAGCATTGTAAACATGGCTGAGTAACAGCACCCCCCTCCCAGTGGCTGGGGAGCTGGGGCACAGAAAATGCTGGTTTTTCACAGTGGRTCAGTGGCACAGGGGAGACTGGACCGTTGCAGCTTCCCAGTCRTGCCCCAGTCACTGCCCTGCAGCCTCCCTTCCTGCCCTGCCTGCCCTACGGAATCTGCCGGGCCAGGAGGAGGACACCGGGCCCTCAGGTGTGGTAATGGCTGGGGACAATTCACCTTCACCGTCAGCTCATGATTTCCATACCTGCTTGAATACCAGCTCCTGATTTCATTTCCGTACCTGTTTGAAAATAAAGCAAGTGTCCACAGCCTTGCACAGCCCACGCGCCCACCGCAGCCTTCCTGAGCGCTCAGCCCTCTGCTCCGGGGCTGTTCCCGTGAAGGGGACGGCCTCTGCCACCCTGTGGTGTCCCCTGGCCCGGGCAGAGCTGTCCCCTGGCGTGTCCCTGCAGGGATGAGGGCTCAGCTGCCCGGCCACCCTCCGCCGGGACCCGGGCTGGCCGCCGAGCGCTCCCGCTGACTGGCAGACGACCTGRAAAAACCACTGGCTCTGTTTGCGTTGGAAGGAGCCCAAGGCTAATTTTAAGGGGTTCATTTAGCTCTGATTTAATCTGGACGCCAGCCTTGCCTATAAATCACGGCTTAATGAGAACAATCCACCTGCCTGCCCTGGCATTTAATAAAATAGAGGAGAGCTGGAGTTGCTCCAGGAGTGAGTGTTCCTCACGAGAGCCGTCTCCCTCCCTTACTGCAGAGAGCCCCCAGAGTGGAATTTCCCTGGCCATCCCCTGGGAATTGCTGGGTGTGTGAGCAATGTGCTGGCCCTGTGGCTGGTGGCCAGGATGGAGGGTGGCCAATCCACCTGCCCCAAYGCCTCCTCCCACTCGCTCCCATCACCACGGAGCAGTGGGGTCTGCTGGGAGTGGCCACTCCTGACCCTCCAAGGCTATCAGTGATCCTCCATCCTGGGGCAGGGACAGCACCCTGTACTGTGGGACAGGGAATCAGGGGTGCCCTCCAAGGCTATCAGTGATCCTCCATCCTGGGGAAGGGACAGCAGCCTGTACTGTGGGACAGGGAGTCAGGGGTGCCCGATCAGCCCGTGCCCTCCAGCTTTAGCAGCACAAACAAAACCAGGAATCCCTTCTCAAGCAGAGACTTCACGGGGCTCGTCCCTGCTCCTGCCCCTTTGCCAAGACCGTGTGCCCTAAGGATGCAATCCTACAGCTGGAGCCTCATCACCATCCTGCCTCATTTCCTCTCTGGCACCCCAAAAGCTCTCCTGAGTGCTTCCTGCCTGTCACAGCATCTCCCCGCTCTCACAGCCCGGCCAGGCACTAATTCCCTTCCCACCAGCCCCAGCAGCCCCYRGCAGTGCCCACCTTGCTCCTTGAGCCGGATGATCTCGGTGTCAGAGCCGAAGCTGTTCCAGGCAGTGCAGTTGTAGATGGTTTGGAAGTCGGCCCGGACGATGTTGCTGATGGTCAGCGTGGAGATGACCCCCTCGTCCGTGCTCACTGTCTCCACCGTGTAGCGCCCGGAGGTGCCGGATTCCAGCACGTTCTCCTTCCAGGACCAAGCCTGTCGAGGGAGATTGGGGTGAGCCCGGGGCACTCCGAGGTGTCCGGGCCCCCCGTGCCCCGGGGCTGTACTCACAATTCGGTCTGGYGGCGGAGTGCTGCGGATGAAGCACTTGATCTGCCCCTTCTGGCCGTGCAGGGCGTGCTGGGTCTGGGTGCTGGAGATGATGGGGGGCCCTGCGGAGACAGGAGAGCTGCTGGCACCCCATGGGGCTGGGGGGATGGGGGGTGGTAGGGGAGCCCTGGATGGGTTTTGGGTTTTTTCTCTGAAGGGCAGGGATGAAGCAACAGCCCCGTCACCTCCTGTGAGAAGATCGAGTGAAGGCTTTGGGCTCTGCTGGGTTCCTGCAGAGCCCCCACAGAGCACCAGGGCCCCCCATCCCTGGTGTGGATGATCCTGCCCCCATCTCCAGGGTCATCTGGCCTCTGAGAAGGGCTCTTTGCTGCAGGATCCCATCCCACCTGGTGCTCTCCCACATTCCTTAAGCACTCATTAAACTAATTGCTCTCCAGGGTCTTAAGGAAGATGTGCTGGAGAAGTTTCTGCTGGAAAACGACACCCAGCAGCTGGGCTCCCCTGTGGATCATGGAAGGAGCCCAGCCTGGGTGAGAAAGGGTAGAAAAGGCTCTTCCTGAGCCAAACATCGGCTGAGCTGGCTTGGGATAGGAAATGTCTTTGTCMTGCCTTGATGAATGTTCTGTGATTGGGAGAAAAGGGGTGGGAAGGGCAGCAGGGCTTGGTAGGATCGGCGTGTTCCTCRCTCTTCTAACAGCCCTGATCACCCCAGGGGAGCAGCATAAGAACCAGGATCCTAATTGCTGTTTATTAACCTCCTTAATTAAAGCAGATTTGCATTTCCACGAGTGGCTTGCTGCTGGCAGAAGAGAAAACAGCAATGACTGGGCTGCAGGGCAGGGGGAGAGGGGAGGTAGGGGCTGGCAGAGCTTCCCCCTGCCCCAGCTCCAGAATATCAGGTGTCCACGCTGRGCTGTCACTGTTGGTTTGGAGCACATCACTGGGTTTATCAGGATATAGTGCCYTGTGGATTTTTTCCCATTTTCCCCACCTCCCTGCCCTGCACCTGATGTGTTTCTTAAAAAAATCTCTGGGGTTTGGGATAAAGTGGTAAGAAAGATTTGCCTGGGTATTCCTGCCYGATTCTCATCCAAATCTCCCATTTACAAATTTCCAGCATGCATAAAAATGTACCAAAATGCTAAATCTTTCAYTCTGGTGCATTTACACCTACAGCTGCCCTTTGGAATTATCCCAGTAACCCCTTTCCTGCATTAAACCTGTCCACTCCCCACACATTTCCCACTGAGGCACAGCCCTGTCCCTCCTTCCTTGCATCGCTCCAAGGGAAGATGGATGGAAAACGAGCTCATTGAAGCACAATTCACTGACCAGTGACCACGGCTCTGGCAGCTCAGGAAATTACTGCTGGAAGGGAGCCGCCATCAACATCAGGAATAGCAGGAGCTGGGCGTGAAGGTCAGGACTTGTTTTGCTGTAATGGGCATAGCAGTGCCGTCGTGGAAACCATTGTGCCCTTTTTGATTGAAGAAGGCCAAAAAAAAAGAGACACTTTGTTGTGTTTTTCCTCTCTAAATGCTCGAGATGTTGTTCTAGGCACGATCCCAGGGTGTGAGTTCTCATTTATCCATCCAGCTTTCCGAAGGGTCTCGGTGGAGGTGACTCCTCGCTCTGCCTGATGAGCATCCTGCTCACCTGATGAACCCAGCAGAGGCAAGAGCAGTGATGGGATCTGCAGGCCAGGCCTAAGTAGTAATAAAAAGTACCATCTCCTTTCCATTTTGATGGTTGTGTGTTACTTATAAATTCTGGAAGTGCTCCAAGACTGGGTGACGCTAGAGAAAAATGGCTTAATAATCATTAAAAGGATCATTTTCYCCAAGGCGAGTGGATTTTAAATGGCACAAATGCCAATGGCTTTGGCTTTTATTATTGCTTYAGGAGTTCAGACTCGAAGGCTTATCATCATGATAATAGTAGATGACTGAAGACTATTTGTGAGATGAACATGCCCAGAAATAATAGCACCAAGTTGCAGCCTCTTCGCATTTGGGGCCGGTGTTTGATTCTCCACCGGGCTCTGGCTCCTTATGAGAGCTGCCAATCTCCAGCTTGGCATTCAGCACCGAGCGTGAGACAGCCCACAGGCAGGGAAAAGGCTCTAAGCAATGTTGCTATGGATATAAATGATGGAGCTATTGGTGGAGGTTATTTTTAGCACCTCGGTGCCAATTTATTTGTGCGGTCCTGGCGGCTCRCACAAAAGAGAAGTCTGGGGTGGGGGCCTTCAGGAATGAAAGGATGGCTTTGGCTTTTCCAGTCTGTGTGAGTCCATCCAAACCTTYCTCCAGGCACTCAGAATGGTTTGGCAGGAGTTTGGTTTAACTCCTTGCTTCCAGCAGGAGCCCTGGGCTGGCGGATGCTGCCTGTGTAGCAAATGATCATCACAGAATGATCTGGGATGGAAAAACTTTCAAACCCATCTCATTCCASATCYCCTGCCATGGACAGGGATGCTTCCCACCACAMCAGGTTGTTCYAACCTGGCYTTGAGCATTTCCTGACACCACRATGTGCTCCTGACCAAGAGGGGTGGCAGCTCAGCCCCTGCCCTGCTCCGGGCTCTTGGGCATTCCTGGTTTCCTTGTTGGGGTGAGTCCCAGCCAAATTACACCCTGAATTTGTCACCTGGAGCTGTCCAGCCCTTCCAACAAACCTTCTCTTGCAGAGCAAGGTGGGCAGGGCTGGTGGTCCCTGCTCATCACCCCCTGCCAAGCCCRGATGATGCAGTGACAGAGCTGTGAAGGTGACCTTGGGGGGCTCCTCCTGGCAGGGTGGCAGCTGTGACCAGGCTGGTGCAGTCAGGAGCACCCAGAGGCTTTGGCTGTAAATCCAGCTGCTGCTCWTTTGTGATGGCACCAAGTTCCTCCTTTCCCTGGAGCCTCTGCTGCTCYGGCCCTGCCAAAAGCTGCCTCTTTGCATAATCCTCCTTCCCACTCACCAGACTCTGAATGCTATCTGTTCCTTGCAGGCTGGTGGCCTTGGCTCTGCCACGGGATTGAGCCTTTCTGCAACCACAGCCCTGTCTGGTGGGGAGGGCAGGAGGATGTTCTCCCACCCCARCACCACCCTGCCATGGTTTTGGACAGCTCTGAGTGGATGGGCTGGTGGGACTGTGGGCTCAGAGGGGTCAGGTGATCCCTCAGCTGGGATGGATCAGCCCCACAAAGCCCATGTGCCCTGATCAGGGGCTGCTCAGCCAGCTCAGAACACAACTTCTCAATGCCTGATTCTTCTGTGACAAAACCCAGCCCACAGAGGGAGGCACCTGGGAATACCAAGACAGTTGSATCACCCTCTGGATTTAAAATCACTGCAAAATATGAGGCATTCACCTTCCCCCTTGAATTCCATCAGAACGGGCTTCCAGCAGAATTCATTAGCTGGATTAGGCACACTCTGGAGCTGGAACACTGCTCCCGCTGCACGACAGCTGCCAAACCCAGCTGCTTGGTGGAGCTTGGACGCTGCTCAGGGGCTCAGTTCTCCTCACTGGGAAGGCCAGGAGACCATCCTGACCCKGAGGTGTGGCATTCTCCCTTGGTCYRRCACCTCTGGTGACACATCCCAACTCTGTCACCTTTGGGGCACCAGCAGCACACCCCAGGGGATGGGATGTGCAGGCAGTCSRTTCCYGGGAGATGCTCCAGGCTGAGCAGTGAACCCCACAAATAGATTTCATTTGCTCCCCGTCAGTTTAGCCAGGCATGATCTGCAAAGCTCTGGAGAGCAGCAGATCTGGAGAGCAGCTGTGCTGCACGCTCTGAATGCCCCGAGCCTGTGGAGAGCTCTGCTCTGCGCTCAGGGTGTCCCTGTGCCTGGTAGCATCGGGGAAGGAGCAGGCTCTTTGTTCTAATTTGTTGCTTTGTTTGCCATGAGCTCATTTGATTGTAATTAAAACCCAGCAGCTGCTGGGGAAGGAGGATGAAGGCACCGAGGAGCTGAGTCCAAGGCGAGGGAGTGGTTGGTTTTTAGTCCCTGCTGCATCGCTCTTGGCTTCCCTTTCCAGGATTATAGACTCGTGGAATGGTTTGGGTGGGAAGTGATCTTTAAAGGTCACCCAGTCCAACCCCCTTGCCATGACAGGGACGTCTTCAGCCAGATCAGGTTACTCAGAGCCCCGTCCAGCCTCTCCTTGAATGTTTCCAGGGAATGGGGCRTCCACCGTCTGCATTATCTGTGTTTGAAAATAATGCTTTTTGCTGCCTGAGCTGCCTCCTGCTGATTTCTTTCTCTTGTGACAGCGAGTGGGGACTGAAACRTGCCAGTTTGTCATGCAGGTGAGAGACAATGCAAAATTCATCCTCTGCTTATACCATTTGCAGCCYGCCTGGCTCTTTCCCTGCCATATTTATGCTGAAATTTGTTAGCAGCTGTTGTGAGGTCCTGGCCAGGGCATCATTAAACTCCAGAGCTCTGGGTGTGAGTCCAGGACACATCCTGACTCAGTGCTGGGTGAGCCCCAAGCAGCCATGGAGGTATCCTGGCAGGAATCCTGGCAGGAATCCTGGCAGGAATCCTCACAGGGATCCTCACGGGGATCCTTGTGTGGGTTGGAGAGAGTTTTTAGGCTGCTGTTCTCGGATCCAGACTCAATTCACTGCTCTCCAGCTGTACAACAGAGACAACAGCACTCCCCGACCTTGCGAGGGTTTTGCAAGATTAATCTATTAAASATTTAAAGCTGCCAGCTCCCAACTACTCAATAAACCCCCGTTGATAATAAGGAACTGCGTGGGGCTGAGCTAATGTTCTTTTTTTTTTTTTGGCTTTAACCTGTGCATTTCCAGGCAAAAAAAAAAAAAAAATTTGCAAAATCCACTGATCCATCTGGGGGTGGGATGTGGGATTTGCTCCAACAGGAAGTATCTGAGGGGATAATTTGGGAACAGGAGCTGTCAGAGCAACAGGAGCAAGGTAGGATGGGAATGGTGGAAGGGAAGCAAGGAAAGAATGATGGTAGGGAAGCAGGAAGGAATGGTGGAAGGGAAGGGGAGGGAAGGAACAGTGGAAGAAAAGCTGGAAGGAATGGTGGTAAGGAAGCAGGAGGGAGGGAATGATGGCTGGGAAGCAGGAGGGAARGATTTGGCAGTAGGGAAGGAGGAAGGAATGGCAGTAGGAAAGCGGAAGGGAAGCGGGAGAGAAGCAGGAGGGAAAGAATTGGTGGAAGGGAAGCAGGAGGGAAGGAATAGTGGAAGGAAAACTGGAAGGAATGGCAGTAGGGAGGCAAGAAGGAGGGAATGGTGGCAGAGAAGCAGGAGGGGAGGAATGGCAGAAAGGGAGCAGGAGGGGATCAATTGGCAGTAGGAAACAGGAGGGAAGGCATAGTGGAAGGAAAGCCATAAGGAATGGTGGTAGAAAAGCAGGAGGGAAGGAATGGTGGAAGGAAAGCTGTAAGGAGTGGCAGTAGGGAGGCAGGAGGGAAGGATTTGGCAGGAGGGAAGCAGGAGGGGAGGAATAGTGGAAGGAAAGCTGTAAGGAGTGGTGGTAGGGGAAGCAGGAGGGAAGGAATGGTGGAGCAGAGGCAAGAGGGGAGGAATGGTGGTAGGGAAGCAGGAAGGGATGGTGGTAGGGAGGCAGGAAGGAAGGAATGGTGGAAGGAGTGGCAGTAGGGAGGCAGGAGGGAAGGATTTGGCAGCAGGGAAGCAGGAGGTACCGTTGACGGTGAGCGTCACCTCCCGCTCCCCCGCKCCCACCCGCGGCACCACCGCTCGGCACACGTATTTCCCGGCATCTTCCTGGCGGACTGACTTCAGGACCAGCTTGTTCTCGTTGCTCAGAACCTGTAAGGGAGCAGGGAGGGCTTTCAGGGGGATGGTGAGAAATTACAAACAAAACAAAGGACCTGAGTTATGAGAGCTGTGAGCATCTGAGCTCCTGAGCTCCTGACATCCTTTGGAAAGCCAAAGTCTGGCATGACAATATCACTTACTGCTGTTGACCAAAGAATAAAGAAACACCACAGGGTTTTCTTTGGGGAAATTAGAAATCCTGTTCCTATTCATCTGAATTTTTACAAACTCCCCTTTTGCAAGAACTTCAAGACACAAGAGAAAAACTTTGGTGGCTGCAAAAAGGCAGAAAAAACTCAGTCCACACTCGCACCTCCACATTCTCAGGCACAGGGGAGTCTGCTGGGATTGACTCAGGGATTTCAAGCCCTGAAGTGGTGGGAGAGGTGGAACAGGGTCTGGATACGCAGGGAAATCTCAGCTGGCACTGGCCAACCCCGTGCTATGGACTGGCTGACGGTGCCTCAGCCCTGSTGCTCCCCTGCCCCACTGTGCAATGAGCAGCTTTGTTAAACCTGGAAAATCATGGAGGCTGATGGGTCTGGCTGAGGCTCTCAGTGGGATCCTGGCATTGCTGGGTTTGGAAAAGCCACAGCAGATGTCAAATAGAAGTGGTTTCTGGTGCAATATCTGGAAGCGAACTCCTCTGGTTGCCCTGGGCTTTCCCTGCCAGGGCTCTGCAGCTCCCAGCCCTGCATCTCTCCTCCTCCTCCTCAGCACCCACTGCTGGGTGAGCTGCTGGCTCTGCTGGTWGCTGCTCCCCCAGCTCTGGGAATTAGTGCTGGTGCAGTGTTTGGATGTAGATCTGGGTCTCCTGTAGCAAGGTGGGGGTCTCAGCCCTGAGCTGGTGTGAGGCAGAGGCACAGAGGGTCAGATCCCTTTCAGCCCACTGTGTTAGCATAGATTGCAGAGTCAGCCACACAAATGCCTGGGTTTACTTGGTCTCAACATCTCTTTGGTCTTTGATTTGCTTCCTTTTGTGAAAATAGGAGAAAAGAAGGCAACCTTGAGGGACCTAGACCTGAAAACAGAGGGGCTGGGGAAGGAGCAGSCCTGGTCCCACATCCCACTGCTGTGGCTGGGTGCTGGTGGCTT